AGAAAACTCAAAAAAACAAAAGTGCCTACCCAGCTTTTAGTAAATTTTTATAGGAGCACAATAGAGAGCATCCTCTGTTACTGCATCACAGTGTGGTATTCCAGCTGCACTACAGAAGACCGGCGAGCTTTGACTCGGATAGTTAAAACTGCTCAGAGGATCATAGGATCAGAGCTGCCTACCCTTGATATGATTTATGATAGCCGCCTACGAAAGCGAGCTAGCAATATTATCAAGGATTCAACTCATCCTGGACATAGTCTTTTTGTATCCCTTCCATCAGGGAAAAGATATAGAACACTTAGGACCCGCACAAACAGACTGAAGAACAGCTTTTTCCCCAGAGCTGTAGCCTGTGCCATCCCTCCAACACATAAAGTTGAACCCTTCCTCTCTTATGTTCGCTGATAATGCACAAAAACATTCTTATTGGACATTAATGTTGACATTATTGACTTATTATTATTTATTCTTGTATTTTATATTTTATACTTTTATTACATTTATTATATCATGTGTGTTATGTCTTTTATGGCTGCTGTCCTCTGTGAGTTACCAAACAAATTTCGTTGTATAAACTACAATGACAAATAAAGTTATATTCTATTCTTTAGCCAAAAAAATAAAAAAATAAAAATCATTTATAGTGCTTTACTGCCCTCTTGTGTTCAAAATCAGGTAGGCCAATTGCATTAAATTGTAGGGATGCTACTATGGGAATATTTTCCCACCGTGACTCCGCTGGGGGCTTTAAAATCGCTAACTTGAAAGCGAAAGTAACGGACGTCTCCACAAGACGTGCAGCTGTGAGCATTTTCGTTTCATTTTAAAAGAAGCCCCATTTCGGGGGCGGATTTCTTGAATGTATTTTACAAAATCACATTGTTGTGTTTGATTGCGAGTATCCAAAAATAAGTAAACACTTTGCAGTTTGAATGATCTTCTTGAATAAAATGACGGAGTAGCCCACTGTTCGATCGCGGACGTCCACACGGACATTGATAATGGTGGCGCGTGCAGAGCGCTCGAGGGAATTCCTATGGAAGTAGGAATGAACTAAAAAACGTTCACTCTGTTCTGCTCGCTCATCGTCGTGGACGCGCAGCGTTATGAATGCCCGTGTGATGCAGCATAACACAGCAGAGAGAGACGCGCACTCTCAACTCGTGATTAATGAAATTTGACTCCGGTTGCTGATCTTTGCTGCAACTTTCGTTCAGCTCACAATTTAGTAAGCAAACCCGTTCAGGTTTTAATTGTAGTGACTAAATGATTTTATTAAACACACACACACACACAAACACACACATCAAATTGACAGTGGGGGGCAATGGTATATTTAAATCAGCAAATTGTAATATATGCAGGGCACCCCGGTCCAGTCTTATTAAATGTATGCTTCATCTTTCATTTTTAATTTGTAAATTTGATCAATAAATTCAATTATTTAGAATGATAAGACACTATATGGCTTTTACCCTAGGTAGGGCTGATCAAATTAAATCGTTTACACTGAAAAATAACAATGCATTAAATAATGTTATGAGATTGTTTTAAATATAAGTCAATTAAAAATCGTTGGGAAGAATGATACTTTTAAACATAACACTAAACCATCATTAGGTGTCGCCAGGCGACCGTCTTAATGAGCGAGTCATTGATTCATTCGTTCAAACAATTCGTTCGAACAGCTGAGTCATTCATGAATGAGACAGATTATGGATTGGTCATTGAATCTTTGAGTCAACCGATTCGTTCAAAATGCTGAATCATTCAGTAATGAGAACGCGTTGCTGTGAGATGCTCGATGGTTCTGCTGTGATCTTTGTTTAACTATTTTCGCTGCTGAAACAGAAAAAAGTCAATATTGCATCTAAAATGTAAGTGATTTGACTTGTGTGTGTGTGTGTGTGTGTGTGTGTGTGTGTGATTGTGTCTGTTACAGTGATTGTTTAACCCTTGTTAAAGTTTAGGCCTTGTCTTTTTGGATATATATCTTTTTATATAAAAAAAATAGGCATACAACCCATATATTTTAAATGTATTGTTTGCTTTAAATTACATTAAGATTTGTATGTTTGGTAATTGAACCTGAATGAATTTTAAATGAATGTGCTATATATCAGATCATATATTTGTTTTCCTTAAAATTTAAACTAACACTAACTTTATTCTCATCTGAATGATAGATTATTTATTTCTGTATATAATAAAAACACATTTGATTTTTCTTTTTTAATCAATGTAGAATGTGTAACTGAAAAAATAAACAGATTAGGGCTCTGTTCGAGAACAAGAAATGAAAACCAATGCAATATGCTGAATGTCCAAAAGATTTTTTTTGCTTTTAAACTACGTGTATGTGTGTGTGTGTGTGTGTGTGTGTGTGTGTGTGTGTGTGTGTGTGTGTGTGTGTGTTGTGTGTGTGTGTGTGTGTGTGTGTGTGTGTGTGTGTGTGTGTGTGTGTGTGTGTGTGTGTGTGTGTGTGTGTGTGTGTGTGTGTGTGTGTGTGTGTGTGTGTGTGTGTGTGTGTGTGTGTGTAAGAGATTTTGGTTGGGTGACATTTGTAGTTTACAGTTTGACAAAAGCACAATGTTGTGTTTTATTGCGATTGTACACAAATATAAGTAAACAGTTTGCAGTTTGAATAATGTCCTGTATGAACAAAAGGACGGAGTATGTTTTTATGTCTACATTGTTCAATCACGTCTCACACACACACACACACACACACACACACACACACACACACAAACAAACAATTTTTCTAATCAGATCAGGCAAGTAATATTCTGTCTTGGCACACTTCATATAACTTTCAATCTTGTGTACTTATTTCATGTGTCCATTAAGTCCATGAGACCGTAGGGTGTCTCATTTTTCATTTTAGGATTCAGAAGTTTGCTCACGCATATGATATGTGCCCTCAATGCACACTTTTGCAGAGCCCACACCAATGCAAGCTCTACAGCACACATCTTCTCAACAGTCAAAGCGGGGTTAAGTTATTACCCGTCATGCACAGTAACCCTTAAGGCACCAGGGTGGCGGTGCCACCGGCTTGTTTATATATATATATATATATATATAAATATAGCTGCGAGCAGCGATGAAGGGCCAAAGCCGGCGGCACCGCCACTCCGGTGCCTTTAGGTAACTAAAGGCACCGGGGTTGCGGTGCCACCGGCTTGGGCCCGTAATCGCTGCTCGCAGCTATATTATTTTGTTTGATATTTTTCAGGATCCTTAGAATTTTTAAAATAACATTTATTTGAAATAGAAAGATACAGTACCTCTTGTACTGTTTGTCCCATTGGATTACAGTTTTTCCTGATTGCTAACACACTTAACTGATAGATTTGGCACAATTTCCCAAACCATTCATTCAGTTCTCAAAACAAAGACACATTTCTCATCGAGGACACCAGATCCCCTTTTGTTTTAACACTTTATTTCCCCCATTTTTGGACATTTTATGTTTATTTACTATAATTCCTGTCCCTGAGAACCAGTGTAATTTTGTAGTTGATCTAAGAGTATGATAGTGTTGAATGCAGCACCAAGATCAAGTAAAGATACAGCCTACAGATAGGCCTACAGCCTTGGTCAGAAGCAAGTCATTTGTAAATTTAACGACTGCAGTTTCTGTGCTATGGGGCTGGAATCCGCACTGAAATTATTCATAGATAGGCTATATATTTTTTTGCAGGAATGAGCACAATATTGAACGGACACAACTTTTTTTTTAGTATTTTAGACAATAAATGCAAGATTTGAAATGGGTCTGTAAAAAAAATACAGTATGTGTGTAAATAATTTAATGCAAATAAATTTGACAGTCACAAGTTTGAGGGTGTAGAACATGTGCTACAGTTTACTGTATATAGAATTAGTGACATTTCGGTATTTTAGGGCTCAATTCTCGCTATTATCCAGTTGCTTATTACTAGCATGCATATAGGATATTGGCTGTTTATTATAAAGTGCATATTAATGCCTTATTTTGCATGGCTATTCTACATCCCTCAATACCGAAACTTAAACGCTACAAAATTTAATAACTATTAATGAGCAGTAAATTAAGAGTTTATTGAGGCAAAATTTGTATTAATAGGGAATACGCGTTCCCCATACTGAAGTGTTACCGAAATTTCCCTTATAAAGTTACTGTTAATAATTATACTGTATGTGGAAGTATAGGAACCCATAGATTAATCTTTCAGCTCTCTCTCTCTCCAGTGTTAGGATGCATTTTCTAAAGCACATAATCACCTGTGGCCCTATTTATATTGTCCTGAGATTCTGATTGGTGTGTCATCAGTTTTGCTACTTCCAATTTTTAACCATCACTAAGACACATTTCTTGAAACCTTCACCAATTTTCATACAACATTAAACACAAAACCATATCGTTAAACTACTTTCACCAAGCCCCTGACTCTTCTGACAAAATCAAACAATCGGCTCAAACCCATTTCAACTGTTCTCAAAATCAAACAAAGCTTTCAAATCATACACCCAGTCAGTCAATATATAAACACTACAGATCACTCATTAGACACTACATCAAAAATGGAGAACACAGCATCCAGAGCATGTAGTTACAGAAAAAACTGTATATTGTGCAGTAAACAAAATTTCTCATGTGTTATTCTCATGCTTGCTAAAAGAAAAACAGTAAATTTAGTGCCTCTCAAACAAAGCAACAAAAGATACAGCAACCGTTTAGCACTGTGGTGTTGTGGTATTTTTTACATTTCTGTCAGCTTCTTTACAGGACATGAGTAAACAGTTTTAACTCTCCAGAAGAAAAAAAAACTGCTAAAACAGTTTCGGTAAAAAAAAAAAAAAAATTGACTTCCTAGTGCATGTCTTTTAATTTTCTGTGTGTGATATTAATACTGTTGCACATCCAAGAATGTTCATCCTAATCACATTGCAGTGACTCCAATGACCAAGAGAGAGAGAGAGAGAGAGAGAGAGAGAGAGAGAGAGAGAGAGAGAGAGAGAGAGAGAGAGAGAGAGAGAGAGAGAGAGAGAGAGAGAGAGAGAGGCTGGTAAGCTTATAATAAGCAAAAAGGAAAGTGAGAGGGAATCAGTACGTGAATCTGATACAATGTTTTCAATCGTTTATTTTGTTTTTCTGATCTCTTGCTCAGGTAAGATATATGAATTGTTGATATTCCTGACAATATTGATTTGAATTGATTTATTTACTATGGGATCATACAATCATTCAGTTTATGTGAATTAAAATAATGATTTTATCATTTTCATTTAATGGAAAGCCCTAGCAGAGAGTGAAAATGAAGCTCTTTCAGTTTGGTGGGAGCCAGAGATGCCTTCACATTCTGAAAACTTACACAGTTTCACGGACGGCTATGGAAATGACTTATCAGTACGTACAATACTTTGTCATTTATACTCGTACATTACTACGGCCACTTTGCATAAGACTCATTCATTTCATTATTCTGATTTGTTGACCTCATTCCCCATTCCTCGCATTCAGAGAAAGCGGCCGAACATCATCTTCTGTTGCGTATGCCAAGAGGCTGTAAGACGAGCTAGGACAGCAGTTAATCAAAAGATTTCAAAGGTAATGTTCAGTTGTCTCAGAACAATTTATGGCTCTAATGACAGGTTAACATAATAGCAATTCACAAACTTTACAATAATTGAGAAAAAGCTCAAATTTAACTTAGTCTGAGTTATTTGGCTATAGTAGTTATTTGGCTATTTGTGATTATCCAATTTAATCAAATGAGTATTATATGAATAGTGACAAGTAACTTCAATGTGAATTTATTCATTGGACAGCTTGTGTCACACAAGGACATTTAATTAATAATGAAAAGGAAAATAAGCTTTTTAGCTAACAGTTGTTTCCGTTTAATCATAAAGTTCTATTTTGTATACATTTTTTCCCTGTTATTTTACAGAAGATAAACAATGTCTGTTACAAATTCATAGAGGGTTTTCGAAAGATCTGCTTGCAGCGTGCAGGGAGATATCGGGACATCATACTGCACAAACTCTTCCCTGGTGGGAGTGCAAGGGGCACATGTTTGAAGATAAAGTTATGCTAACAACTGTGACAATGGCTGTAGAAGGGATACATTTACATTGACTGTTACTAGCTAACTTCACTGTAATCTGTTTTTTAAATGATCAAAGCTGTTTTTCATTATTTGAGAGAAAATTGTTAGTTGAATATCAGTCCAGCCATGTGTATTTTCAATGTGCATACACATTTTTTTGTCATCAACTTGAATGTTTGCCATCTATAGAGTCTTCTGTTTTCCTTTATGCTTTTCAGAAAATCAATAAAACATGTGGTAAACGGACTCCCCTTGTGCGTTCTTTCTGCTATTCTGTAGCCAACGGATACAAAAATTCCATAATGAGGACCTTTTTTCCTGGAGGTACTCCTATAGCCACCTGCAGAGTGATGAGGTTATGTGATTACAGAGATGATAAGATCAACAAATGCAGTTAAAAGTTATGTTTAACCCCTTTAAAATATAATCTAATAGATGGATGTTTATTGTACTGAAGATGCTTTTTTTGCGGATCCTGTGGTATAAGATTGCCTTATGTTTTACAAAAATTACACATTAAAAATCAAATAATATTCATGTGACTTTCTATTTGGTTATTTTCTGTTGATAGTAATAATGCATTTCATTGTTTTTTCATTAAAGTTGTTGTCTCTCCCCAAGACATACCAAGCAGTAATACCCAATAATTCACATCAATGCAGTTTAAAAAATCAATGTAAAATAAACAATTCTGTGAAATAAATATTTTTTCAAAAGGTGCTTTAGACTTTAAACTTTATCATTTTTGTTTGCTCCATTCATAGTCAAACAGTTGAACTCGGGTTACTGCACATTGGAGTTTATGGTGCTTTATCAACCCTATAGAGAATTTTTTAGGTGCTGTAGAATAGTTTAAAATGTAGTCAATTAAGTAGAATATAAAACATTATGACATAATTTATTATAATGGTAGTCAGGATTTGAACACTGATAATTTCCATTCAATGAAAGTAAATGTAACTCAAAAATAACAAATAAAGTGAATAAACTTTGAACACTGTTGAAGTTTCTGACCTTGGGTAATAGCATTGAACTATCAGGACTGCGGTTCCAGACCCATGAGGTTTAACACAGAAATTGACTTGTAAACTTGTATTCAATGATAGAGATCAGCAACAAGAAGCAACTGAATACTTTTGTTACATCATTAGAACAAATGAACAGTTGGTCCAGGGTTAGAGGAGGGTTCAACTTACTTTGCTTAATTTAGCAGCTTTGTGCTCATATCAGAAAAAACAAGAAGGAAAAAAAAACGAGGTTAGAGTGCTCTTATAGAACAATGTATCTAGCCTGTATCGTTGGATCTTTCTTGATTCTCTTTGGTAAGATATTGGTAATATTTTAGTACTGCTTTGACTCATTTATTTGATCTGATTAACTTCAGTGGAATGTTAAATCAGAATAGCATTTTGTAAGATTATAATGTAAAGTAGTTACATTATATACATTTATGATGTTATATTTTGTGCAGCTGCTGCTGAAAGTTCTCCATATGAGGCCAGTCGTGAGACGTTACAGACAATCACCTTCTATGACAACAAGGAAGATCTGTGTAATGCCAAGGTAATAAAATGGATATATCTAAGAATGTTATCATCTCTCACGCTTAGATTAAAGTAAAAAAAAAAAAAAAAAAAACATTTACAAAAAAATCCTGTGGTGAAGTTCGGAGGACATTAGTGTGGAGTATACATTCTATCAAGGATTTTCTTAATAACCATATTATTTCTCTTCCTAGATGGCCATAAAATGTTGTATATGTTTGAAAATGATAAATACATATATACCCATTATATACGCTGTAATTGACAAGGTAAATATTACTTTTATTCCTGAATTCCTGTTTTTAATTTTTTGTTTGTTTGTTGAAAACACACTATTTGTGAACTTAAACTCATATATTCATTTAAAAGGGAAGATAAAATAATGTTTATAAATGGGTTTGCTAAGCCCTCCTGGGATATATCTTGGTATTATTAGCCATATGGTTACAGCTCTGTTACTTTGTTTATGAAAGTATTGATTATGAAATGTATTTGTGTGTCTTACATTGTCTTACAGTGATGTAAGTTTACTTTTTATTAAAACCATCTTATTTTTTGTTTTCTCTCTCAGAATATGCGTTCTGTATGCAAGGCCAACATATTTCTCAGAAAAAAATGTAAAGAACTTGCCATAAAGTTGAAAATTAAGGTCTTAAATGTATATCTAAATCCTCTAAAGTCCTGTTTTAAGTACAAAATGTGCAAAGTAAAGGATTGATGATTAAACCTAAACCTAAAGTAAATCAAATATCAGCTGTTTAGAGAAGTTTGTTTCCTTTGTTTTGTCAAAAGGTAATAAATGTTTTAAATGCAAAAGTGTGAGTTGATGATTCTTTTTTTTTTTTTTATATACATCTAAAATGCCAAAAAGGAAGCACATAAATTCACATCTGACACAAAAGTAATAACCTAATAATGCTGATGTTTATTTAGCCATTTACACTATTTTACTTAAAGTGTAATCTAGCGTTTAATCTGCACATCTGCTTTGATTAAGTATGTATTACTGATGGTTAGGTGGTGAACTGAACAGACATACAGTGTTAGAAAATGCTGACAGGAGCTCCATTAAAACTTGACACTTTGGTCCACTGTGGTTTTGGTGCCCTGAACATCATCACTTTAAAAGACTTGCGTAGACATTTATTATCTTCAACGTTATACACATAACTGTGAGAAAAGAGGAGCACATGACAAACACAGAAGAGAGTGTCAGAAGTATCCCTTCAACTGAAAATCACCCAGACGTGTAGAAGCCAAGCAGCTCTTTTCTAAGGAGAAGATTTGCAGAATCATGTCACCTGTCATTCATGTGGGACTGCTTATCATGTGCTCAGGTGAGACTGAAGGACTATGAATTTAACTTCAAACTTCTACATTTGCTCTTATTAATTTTTTACAATCATATTCATTCAATTCTGCACATAAACGTTGTCTGTTTTTGTGGCTCAGTTCTTGTTGAGTGCAGCAGCACTACTAACCAAGCACATTGGAAGAGCATGCTGGAGAGAAATGAACTGAACTTTCCCGAAGAAGACAAAAACAGTCATGAATTAAGCATAGAGGTAAACTGACACACTATGTAATGCAATACAATAAAACAGATATAAAGTTACTAATGTCCAAACATTTTTTCCTTGCATTCCTCAGAAGTCTGTTATGAGCGTCATTACGTGCTGGGTTTGCAAGAAGTCAATTCATGAAATCAAGGGCATAATTCTCCATGAGATTAAAAAGGTAAACTAAAACTTTCTTCCACCTAAATTGATTACAGATATTTTGCTTGAAAATACCTCCCGAGGCTTTAATTAAATGTGTTTTTGTTTTAGGAAATAAAGGCTGTTTGCAAAGCAATGAAAGTCCTTGAACACATCTGCAAGAAATACACACATAAATATCAATTCCTGATATTTCACCTACTGTTTCCTGGTAATAGCGAACAAACCTGTCAGCATTTGAGCATGTGTAAATAAATGTTATTGCTCAGATATGGTCACACTTTATAATAACTTTAATTAATTTATAATTAACAAACATTATATAATGCTTAACAGATCATTAGTTCATTCACAAAGCTAGAAATATGAGATAGGCGTAGTGTGCTTGTTAATGTTTATGTGACGATCTGTAACGTGATGCGGTGAAGGCAGAGAGGAGGCTGGATCCAAACGCAGTGTACACGCTTTATTTAAACAAACTATAAACTTAAACAGAGACTCAGAACTTGGAACAGGAATCTTTACACAGGAACGACCAACACTCACGTTAATCCTGAAACATATAACAACTCACAAAGACAGGGCAGAAACACAGGGCTTAAATAATCAGGGACAAACGAGCTAAACAAGGGGGCGTTGGAAATCAGAAACTCCTGGGAAAACTAATAGACAGGTCAGGGAACCACAGAACATGAAAGGACAAGACACAAAACCCACATCATGACAGTTTACTAATTTTTAATGAACTTATTAAACATTGCATGTTGATTATTAACAGATCATTATTTCATGTAAATGTCATTAAACTTTCAAATCATTTGATCATGCACTTCTTGAAAATCTACAAATGCCTTTAAAACTTCAGTACATACTGTATTATTACCTAATGCACTTTTTTTTTTTTACATTTATGTACAAATGCAAAAAGTTGTTTGGTAGCTATGAGTGATCCAGATGTTCAACAGAAAGTGTAACAATATAAGAATGACTGGTCCCATTTTATGTAAGGTGTCTTAACCATGCATTTACCTCAATGAATAAATACATAAATTGTTAGGTAGTACGTATTGTGTTCATGTTCTATTGCAAAATACTCTTGCAGCTATTGAGGTGTGATACGGGTAAGGTTAGGGACAGGTTTGGTGGTACGGGTAGGTTTACGGGTTGGTTAAGGGGTCAATGGTGTACAGGGGTCAGTTTGATTACTGTAAGGGAACATTGTTTAAACCATTTATATTACATTGTTTTGATAAATTAACAACTATCTATTTTCAATAAAATGTATTTGTTTTCTCCTGTTGATGTAAGATTCAAGGAATATCCTAAGGATATAGTGCATCTGTTAAGGCAATAAAAACATGTTTTGCACCTAAATTAAAATGATGTGGTGTTGTTATGTCTGTCACAATCATTTGGCTAAACTTAACTATAACAGCCATCTACACAAACATTGTTACAGTAGCAAAAAGTCCAATGCACATAAAGGTACTAAATGATTAATTGTAAACATGTATAAACATTTACAAATGATGAATAGTTTCAACTTTAGATTGGGTACTGCAAAAACATGAAAAATGTATTAATACATGATTTGTAAAAATATAAATAAAAAATACACACCACAACAAATGAAGACCACGACCTTCACAGACTATGGTAATGTTATGAATTAATTAATAATGTGTTAAGATGAATAGTGTGTGAAGTGTTTAAAGTCCCCATGTGGTGACTAAGATTAAGTGTCCAAGTAAAGTCGTTTACAAATGTGTCCGCTGCAACTCGGAATATGCAACAATTTAAAATATTAGAAGACATGTTTGTCGTAAGAGTTTTATAGTAAACATATAGCATATCAACAGTGATCAGCAATAATGATAAGCCAACTCATAATAAAAATAATAAGGTCATATAGATCATAACACAGTCTCGGAGGTGAGAAGTGGATTATCCTTCACCTGAAATGTTTGTCTTTTCATCCTGAAATGCGAGGCAAATGTTGGATCACAATAAGTTTCCACAAATCCTTTCACTAAATTGGAATGTTCTCTTTTATTCTGGATGGCAAGGGCAGTGACTGTAACATCGAGCCTATTTTGCAGTATTAAACACTTATTTATACCGGTTTCATCAGGCTGCGAAAATTCTTCAAAAAGAACACAAAGAATGGCCTTCTCAGCTGCAACTCTTGCGTCATCAGAACAGGGTGTTCAACGCACTAACGCTTTGCAACTTTTTATCTGGGATGAACCGACAAAAACTCTCACCTGGTGTGAGTGAGTGGAGTAGGGGCCAATTTGCATATTCAGAGAATTGCTACTAAATGAGGCAAGAGTGTAGATTTACATTCAAGCTATTTTAAAGGAGAACTCCGGCGCAAAATGAACCTTTGGTCTAATAAAACATTGGTACCTAGTCAACCGTTCTCTGAGATTTGTTTTCATGATGATCGAATGTAAAG